CGTTTGACTTGATGCTGGCAAGGGGCAGTTGACACGGTCGCTCGTCTTCCCTTCCCAGGGACTTGCGTTTAGAGAATTGGTGCTTCATTGTGTCCAGCCACAACACGCACCCCATTTAGCATTCTGAGAAGGTGATGTCCATAGAGTGCTATTTCAGGGGGACTGTTGTTCATCTGAAGGGGTGGGTTCGGGATTCATGGAAGGGCCAGGTAGGAAGTCTTTCTCAGACAGAGTGCCTTCTAACTATCCTAGTTCTCCCAGTGCCCTAGCAAAAGGATAGGAATTTCTAGGCTGGTTTGCAGCTTGTCTTTTGTATAATATAATGTTCACACTGTTGTTCCAGATAGGAATAGAAAGTAAGTTATCTTGTTGATGACCTTTACAAGGCTGTGGCTGAGGCAGAGTATCTCTCAGAAGCTGTGCAAGCTGCATAGGATTGAAACTCAGAAAAGGCTGTTGGAAAAAAGTTATTACCTATATGTATCCTCAGGAATTCACAAGCCTTCCTCTTACTTTCCTGGGTCTTTCGGTCGGGCCTATGCAATAGCACTTGGCTTCATTCCTTGCCAGCCCAGCACTTGCCAGGCATAAGGCTTCCCAAAACCTTCACATCCGTCAAGTTTGAGAGGCGTGCCAGAGACCATCCTCAGGGTGGCATGACCTATGATCAGGAAACCAGAACTCTTGAGTTACTGCAAAACCAGCACTCATGGATAAAATCAGAGTTTGAGATGCCAGCCCTCTGGCCCTCTCCCTCCCCACCCCCACTCCTCAGATACTTCCTTTGCTCATTTGAGCAAGTTCTCAGAGAACTGACCTCCCAGAAAATGACAGTCATCTGCAGGATAGAAATAGGCTTTCGTGAGCTATGATTTTCCTTTTATAGTGTGGGTGTGTGTTTTACTGTTTTGTTTTTATTTTTAAACAGTGGGTCTTAGTGGTCATTCAGCATCTCTACTCCAGCGTTCCTGTTTTGAATATCGAGTCAGATTTTAAATTGCTCTTGTCCTTCGAGTTGTTTTGAGGCAATGGCTGTCTATTCAACACTGAAACAATTGATTCTGAGCCAGTAACTAGAGCTTGCACAGTTAGGTCCATTCATCCCTTTGACTGTTTCAAGACCACTTTAAAAATTCATGCTTTACTGTAATAGTTCTCTGAGGGAGGGTAATTTATCAGAATATATCTATGTTGTTGCTTTTCCAATTATCATCCACTTAGCCATATTTGTTTTCTAAAATGTAAAACAAATTTATAACATGAAGGTAATGTAGCAGTTACAGTTTCTGTCTCATAAAATAGTTGATAATAAATAAGGGTTAATTTTAGTCACAGATAATGTGAATTTGTCAGAAAGAGTAATGCTAATTCACATTAGTCATAGTAGTGGGATTTTTTTACTTCAAATGAGAAAATGTGTAAGATCCTTGGTCTCTTAGTTTCTTTCTCCTTGGTTTTGATGAAAGAATGTCCCAGAGCCCTGGCCAGGTGTGGTTCAGTTGGTTGGAGTGTCGTCCTGTACACTGAAAGGTCTCGGGTTTGATTCCTGGTGAAGACACATACTAGTTGGGATAGGTATGTACCCTGATAGATGTTTCTCTCTCCCTCTCTCTAAAGTCAATAAAACATATCCTAGGGCAGTGATGGCGAACCTTTTGAGCTTGGCATGTCAGTGTTTTGAAAAACCCTAACTTAACTCTGGTGCTGTGTCACATATAGAAATTTTTTGATATTTGCAACCATAGTAAAACAAAGATGTATATTTTTGATATTTATTTTATATATTTAAATGCCATTTAACAAAGAAAAATCAACCCAAAAAATGAGTTCGCGTGTCACCTCTGACACACGTCATAGGCTCGCCATCACTGTCCTAGGGTAAGGATTTTTTTAATTACAAAAAAAAAAAAAATGTCCCAGAGAGTCACTAAACCCTGAGAGGAATCTGAGGATTCGGGAGAAGGGGAGGATTAGGGAGTTGGGCACTGGACTAGTGTTTATTGAGCACCTGGGCTTACAGAAGGTGGTGCTTGGATAGGGGTTGGGTGGGGAGATGTAGGGGAGGAGTTCCAAGGGGTTGGAGTTCACTGGGAGAATGCCTGTGGCCTGCTGCTAAGGAAGAATGTCTGGTGGGGGGCTCAGTCAGTGAAGCCATGTGGGAGAGTTGGAGAACAGGACATTTTCAGAGAGCTTTTTTAGGAGTGGGCAGGCGGGTTGCTAGGGGAGGTGGGGAGCTGGGCTACGACTGGTCCCCCTTCCCCTAAGTCTTCACATTCCCTCTCTCAGGACTGAGCTTGAGTGGGACCCAGTGCCCCCCATCCCCTACCTTCTTGTCTCAAGTTCTGACTCTGGGCCCATTGCCACCATGGGCTCTCTTTATGGACAGTGTAAGTGTGAATTCTCTTTTCCTCCTGGGGCTTCCTCCATGGGGCTGAGTCTGTCCTGGGTCTTTGTTCTCTTCCGGGTTCCCTTAGGGGCTGGCCAGGTGTAATACTCCTTCCCGGAAGCAGAAGTGCTTCGTAAATACTTGCTGTGTGATTCACTTTGGCTGTGTCTCCTGTATTCCAGATACCTGGCCCATAGGTATTAATGAACAGGTTAGACCTTGTTTAGAGCTGAATCAGCCGTTTCAGTGTGGAGAAACTTTAGGAGTTTAAGGGCAACAGGAAATACGACTCCTTGTTGATGGGTAAACCACTCAGATGAAGTAAGATTGGGGGGATTTGGTCTCTGCAGCTGAGCCCGTCCGGGAGAAAGCTGTGGGTTGCCCATTGGCTTTGGTCCTCTGACAGGGCCGTTGTCCTGGCTTTGGGGTTGCAGATTCTGTGGCGGCAGATGGGTCTTTGAGGGGAGGGGCCGTCATGGTGCTTCTGATGACTTGCCCTTTTCAGTTCTTTGCTTGGGCTCATTCCAGGTGTACTTGGTGCTGGCAAGAGTCAGGATTGGAAAGATGGTGAAAGGAATTTTATAGACGGGGCTAAGTGATGGGGCTGTGAGTGGAAATATGATATTTTAAGCCACTTGGCAAGAGAAGTGGGGATTATTCTGAGTGGAAATGGTAGATTGTTTAGTGTAACTAGATCAGAGGTGAAGGGCTAACTGGCCGAATTCTTACGCGTGTCTCCCGTCCTGATGAGAGCTGTGCGCCAGCCTGTCTGAGGCCACGAGTGGGTGTCCTGAGACACTGGTGCGTGTCAGTTCACACTTCGCTGGAGGATGGGGCTCTGGGTCCGTTCTTAGCCCTGACCACGCCTCGAGGTTGGCTCAGGACCTGAGGGAATGGGCCCTGTGTCCTGGGAGCAGTCCTCCTCCTCCCCTAGTCCAGCAGGTGCTTGCTCCCAGAGGAGTGGTCACCTCTTCACAAGGTGCGTAACCGGAAGGCTCCTCTGACCTGAGCCAGCCCTAGAGTCAGTGCTGGAAAGTCCTAAAAAGGAGTGAGAAGAGCTTGCTTCAGGGCACCGGCCCCTAGGCCATCAGCTGTCCCACCCTCAGTCATCTGAGGGTAGCGGGAGGAAGTGGTGTCAGCCGCACAGCAGTTCCTCTTTTGCCCAGTGAACACGTATCCTTCAGTTCCTCTCCTCCAGCAGCAGTGACTGCTGTTAGTTTAAGCAGCGGTCAGAATACTGATTTTGCCAATAGACTTGTAGGGGAACAGAGATGCCAGCTGTGGCCAGGTTGTCAGTGGCTGCTTTCACCTGTGAGCGGTGCGCCCGGCTCCTTTCCGGGGACTCTCCAGGTCAGCAGTCCCTGGGCCAGCAGTCTTCCAAGTCCTCTAAAGGAGCTGGTTGCTTGGCACCAGGGAGGGGGTCTGTGTGGCCTGGGTGCCAGCAGGCCTCTGAGCACCAGTGCTCTCACCTGGTCTTTTTTTATATATATATATTTTATTGATTTTTTACAGAGAGGAAGGGAGAGAGATAGAGAGTTAGAAACATCGATGAGAGAGAAACATTGATCAGCTGCCTCCTGCACACTCCCCACTGGGGATGTGCCCGCAACCCAGGTACATGCCCTTGACCGGAATCGAACCCGGCACCTTTCAGTCCGCAGGCCGACGCTCTATCCACCGAGCCAAACCGGTTTCGGCTCACCGGGTCTTAATTGCCATCTGTCCCCACACTACAGAGCACCCAGAACATTCCAGTCTAGAATTGGTGGGATGTGGGCATTGGGTGGGATGGAGCAACCCGGCTGGTACTCTGGCCCTGACCGACTCCGCCCACAACTTAATTGACTGTGTGGCTCAGGGCAGGTTAATGTGCTTCTGTGTCATGGCGGCCTTGTGAGCATTAAGGAAGACGATGACTGGAACACCCGCCCTGCCCAGTGCTTGGAGCTGGGTTACTGCAGTCCTTAGAGTCGGCTCTTAATAGTCTTTATCTTACTTCTGTACTTTTAGAAAGAATGTTCCAAAAATGCTTTCGTCTCCCCCTCATGATGTCTTTTTGTTAATGTCCCTTACACAGCCTCACTGGCTTACCAAACCTCGTGGTGCCAGCTCCCACCTCAGCCACACACACCGGTCTCCCCTGCTTCCTGGCTCCTCTTCATGCTGTCCACTCAGAGCCCCTGGCTGGTTTTAGGACAGGTCCTGGAAGGCCAGTTCCTGCTGCGGGCACAGGAGCCTATGCCTGGGGGAGGGGCACAGGTTCCTGGGCAGTCACTGAGGTTTCTTGCAAGAAACTGGAGAACACTGCTCCAGAGTTCACCTGCCCTGGTGGTGTGTGTTGGGAGAGGCTCATGGCATCCGGGCGGCATCTAAGTGGGGGTGCACCCACTGTCTCTCCCATGTTGTGTTCTGGTGGGCTCTGGTTTCCTCAGCATTGGGCCTCCAGGATCTTGGCCTGCTTTTGCAAGTGAGTTCAGGTGTGCGGGGATGGTTCTGGAAGGATGAGCTGGGCCAGCCACTCATTGCCGATAGACAGGCTGAGGTATCTCAAAACAGATATGGGGCGCTGAATCCCAGGCAGTTCTAGTTATTTATTTTAAAAAATCTTCAAGAATTTGTTTTGATATCTTCAAAAATTTTTTTTATTGTGAGAAGTACCAAAAGCCACTTACAAGCCCAAAAGTATAAGAATTAAATAGAACACATAATTTTTATACAGTTTTCTATACAAAAGTTTAGGCGGGGGTTAGGGAGCAGAGGAGCCACAGGCCTGCCCTTCCGTCCCAGAGCGAAGAAGGGTGGACTCTGCACTGGATCCGCCAGCAGGGCCAAGTGCAGGAAGAGAGCAGAGGCCACCTGGGAGCCCGCAGGGCGGTGGCCGTGGAGACAGCTGGTGGTGAGGGCTCAGGTGCCTCGAGAGAGCAGTGGGCCAGGTATGAACCCCTGGCTGGTGTCCTGTCTGCAGTGTCCTGCCTTCTACCTCAGAGTGGCTGGTGCCCAGGGGGACTGGAGACTCTGGCCCTGAGGAGGCCCATTCCCAGGCTGGCAGAGCCCCCACAGAGTGTTTGCAGCCAAGGCCCCTGGGTTCTTACAACTGGTCCCTGCCCCAGGGGGGCCATGATTCCCACCTGTTTCCGTCTCTAGTTGATTTTCTAATGCCAACAGTTATATGTTAAACACCCACACTCATAGTCACATGATATTTGCAGGGGATTTACGTGCAGGAGCTTTGTACCTGAGATGTCTCTCGGGAGGGAAGTACCTGATAAAACCGGACAGATGGATGTCCCCTTGCCTTGTGACGTAAATGTTCATAGAGCTGTGACCTGAGCAGGTGGCAGGTCCACCATGGCTTTCTGCTCACGACTGTCCTCCCCCCTCGGGTGATGGTCTCTAAATGGGTCGGGTCCTGCTGAACTGAATGGGGCCCTGTGAACCATCTCCATGTTCCTGGAGCTTGGTGGCACTCCCTCCGATAATCTGAGGCACAGTTGTTCCAGGAGCCTCCTCAGGAGGCTCTTGGTGGGGGCCTCTGCTTCTGGGAGCCTCATTTGAGTCGTGTGTGTCATCCTCAATTCAAAGCTACACTGAGCAGTGTCTGCCTGCAGCTGGGGAGGCAACCTGGGGTCAGGGTCCTGATGTCTGAGGGTTTTGTTTCCAGGGTAGGTGTCCAGGGGCAGTGCTGAGGGTCGGAATGACCTGGAGCCCTGACATATGCTCCCTCGTCTCTACGTGGAGCCCTGTTTTTCCTTTATTCCCCGAGCGTGCTGGAGGGTTTCAGATCTCGGTGCACACAGGGCACTGTGGGGTCCCCTGTAGGGAAAACGAAGTCAGAACCAGCTGACACTCGTGCACGTGTGCGGCCTGTTGGCTGTGTGAGGTCCCATCCCTGCTGTGTGCATCTGGTGCCTGGGACAAGCATCTGGTCTCTGGGCCTCCGTTTCCTCATTTGTAGTTGGTGATGTCTGCCGCTTCTTCCTGGTCAAGGCTGTGAGAAACTAGAAAACAAAGCAGAAGAGGGCATAGGTGAAGGTTTTATGTGCAAATTCAAAATAGATAAAAACTATGCTTCTAATTAGGTTGGTTGCAAATGTTTGTGCACAGAAAATCCTATGCTTTTGCATTTAGATTTCAGTGGGAGAAATGTGACAGAATATATCTTGCATTTAACTCAGGACACTCAGCCCTCTTACTTTCAGGCCTCCAGTGGCCATCCCTTTTCTGTTGCAACAAAGTAGTGGTCGTGTCCATTTGTGGAAATGTGTTTGTGGAAATCCGGAAGTGATCGAAAGGAGCCAAGTGCAAAAGTTCTATAAAGGAACTGAAGGGGCTGGAGTATGACATGTCAACAGAGATATTTTCTGTTCAGAATCTTGTGTGAGAGCCTGTCATTTTCTACCTTTGTTCCTCGCCATTTTCAAGACCTGGTGTCAGGGAGTGGCAGCCCTTAGGGACAAGTAGCATCCAGTTTATCCACGATGCTTGGCTGGGCAGTGCATTCAATTCTGCATTTAAGGGCTGAGATTTACCGCTGGGCCTGCAGCATGGGCAGGGAGAACCCAGCTGTGTTTGTGGGTGGGCTGTTGGAGAGGCTGGGATGCCTTCCTGGTCCTCAGAACATTGCTGGGCAGCTGAGAGGAGTGGTGGCGTGGGGTTCCCAGTCAGGGTTGTCTTCACCGCCTCCCTCGGTTGAGGAACCCTAGGTCAGGGGTCTCCTGGGACAGCATGTGACTTGGGCTCTGCCCTGCCTTTGCCCTCCCTATTCTCTTGAGAAATGACAGCAGGCACCGTGTCTAGGCTTTGGCCAGGGCCTCATCTCTGTGTCCTGGCAGCCCCGTGCTCAGGCCCCAGGGTCCCATGGCGCAGGCTCACGGATGTCGGCTTCAAACCTCCCCTGGAGACCAGCAGCGTGGCTGGATCACTTCTGGATTTCCACAAACACACCAGGAATTGGACACCACCACTACTTTGTTGCAATGGAACAGGGATGGCATGGCCACTGGAAACTGAGAGGGTTTGGTGTCCTGACCTAAATGCGGGATATAATCTTTCTGTCAAATTTCTCCCATTGAAATCTAAATACAAAAGCATAGGATTTTCTGTGCACAAACATTTGCCATCAGCACTCCCTTGAGCCCCCTGGGAGTGAGATTCAGGGATTCAGCCATCCTGGCATCAATGAGCCACCTAGTGTGGAGCACAGTGGTAAGAACACTGCTCTCATGTGGTGCTGCCTGTCCTGTCCTAACCCTGCCACCTGGGACCTGTTTCCTAATGAAACTCATCCAATTAAAAGGAGTCCACAAGAAGAAATTGGCCAGAGTACTGACGTGCTGCTCATCAGTGGCAAAAAGCTGGACAGGCTCGCTTGTAACTGGTGGATGGTGTAGCCCAGTGGTCGGCAAACTCATTAGTCAACAGAGCCAAATATCAACAGTACAACGATTGAAATTTCTTTTGAGAGCCAAATTTTTTAAACTTAAACTATATAGGTAGGTACATTGTTATTAACTTAATTAGGGTACTCCTAAGCTGGCCTTTGCTAAAATCGTCCTCAATCTGAGGGGCCGACCTCAGCAAACGTACCCCCACTTCTTCTAACGCCACTTCTTCAAAATAGACTCGCCCAGGCCAAAAACCGACTTCTGCGCATGGGCCACGAAGTTTCAATCGCACTCTACGTGCACGCCCACACGTGGTATTTTGTGCAAGAGCCACACTCAAGGGGCCAAAGGACCGCATGTGGCTCGCGAGCTGCGGTTTGGTGACCACTGGTGTAGCCTGTCCTGAAGGCCACTTGCTTTTCAACGTCTCAGGGTTTCCCTGGTGAACCCGCAGTTCTGGGCTCTGGTGGGTGGGCCTGGAGGCAAGTCTGGGTCATGGGCTCTGTGACTTCCCTTCTGGGAGGATGTGGTGGGGCCACGTGCTAGGACCACTGTGGACCAGTGTGAAGGCAGCCGCTGGGCTGAGTGTCCTGCCCTCAGAGCCCAGTTGATGCCTGGGCAGACCTGGAGCTCAGAGTCATGCCACGTGGGAGAAACACAGTATGATGAGGGTCCCTTCTAAAGCCCACTCTGGTGTTGGGTGTCCTGGTTGAGGTCAGCCCAGCAGTAGGTATATCGGGGTGAATGGCAGGTTCTAGGTACCCAGAGAGCTGGTGTGTCTTCCGGGAGTCTGGAAGGGTACCTTACTCTGGGATGTCAGGGTTCTGTTACGCATATGAACACCTGGCCCCTGGGCACCTCTCTCTCTAGAGTGCTCTCGGCCCGAACTTTCTAAATCAGTGTGTTTGATCCAGTATGTAAGGGTGGCCTCTGTGGGGTTTTTGGGAAAACATTTTTGTATTCGAAATAGAACAAGGAGCCCTGGCCAGTGTGGTTCAATGATTAGAGCGTTAGCCCATGCATGGAAGGGTCTCAGGATCAATTCCCAGCCTTGCCCGAGGTGTGTGTGGGAGGCACCCAATCAATGTCTCTCACATCAATGTTTCTCTCTTTTTCTCCTCTCTTCCCTCCGATCCACTCTCTCTAAAAATCAATGGAAAAAATATCCTCGGGTGAGGATTAAGAAAAAAATAATGGAACAAGGATTCAAGTGTAAAATTCACATGGATTTTTAAGGTAAGCCATACAGGGCTCTGTTTTAAATGACTCAGAGTTGCTGAGCCTCCAAGAGAGGTATGTAGTATGTCCTTTGAGGCCTTCCCTACACGTGCCCTTCTCCAGACTATCCTCACATTTAGAAGCTCAGCACAAGCCCATCTCCCCGCTCCTCTCCTTGGGCTCCCCAGGGGTGTTCCTCTGCACCCAGCACTGCAGTTCCATCTGGCTCACCTGCTCCCGACTCCGTCCCATCCAACGTCCCTCCAACCTTTTAGGCCTGGGTCACCTTTGTGTGTCTCCTGCTGCTGAGCTCTGTTGGCGTCCAATAAACTTCCTTTCCCTGCTAGACGGGTTCCCCCTTGAGCCCAGGGTCCTATCTGACTGAGGCAGACACCCTGGGGGCTCTGAAGGTGGAGATGAGCCCCGCCCCCTCTGATCTTTCCTACTTGACCTGACAGCTGTCTCTGAGGTAGCAGTAAGCTGATGAACAACTCCTGAGCCTGGTGAGTGCAAACGTCATGGTTCAGCTCTTTTCATACAATGGTTGAGGCAAAGCCTCGATTCCATGTCACAGAAGTTCCGGCCCTTGTTCCAGACCACGGCCCCTTTAAAGGAAATGGTGATTATTTTCACCAGTAGGGAGGCGGCTAAAGCTGATCTGTGGGGTCCTTTGGCTTTACCTAAAGAACAATGGGGATCCAGAGGGTTAGGAGGAAGGGGCAGGCCCGTGGGAGAGTGTGTGACCAGTGCTTCCTTAGATATAGGGGTGGGATCCAAGGAATCTGGGAAGTCTGTGCAGTTGGGGCAATGCCCTGGGGTCAAGATGCCGGACCAGGGGGTGGCAGGAGACTGGGCTGAGTCCCCAGGCCAGGGGAGCAAAGAGAACAGAAGTGGCTCTGGGCTTAGTGTGGCATAAGGCTGTGTTTGGGAAATAAGAAACTTACACCCATGACCTAAACAGTATAAAACAGCAGTATTAATGAGGCTTTGCAGTAAGACCGCCAAGCAGGGCTGCGACTTTACATTGAGAAATACCGGACTGAGCAGAATGGGCATTCAGGAAGCTCGAGGAGGGAGAGCAAGGGGCCAAGAGAGCGGGAGGAGGCTGAGGAGGGAGTGGGCACACCTCTAATGAGGGTGAGATGACCCGACTCCCTCAGCAGCCACATGCACATTCCACTCCCAAGAGGGTAAAACACCAACCTGGCAAAGATGCACTCATCTCAATGTCTCAGCACAACCCCTTGCCCCTGGGAAAGCAGTCGCGTCACTCCAGCAGCCACAGAGCTGAAGCCCAAGGACACAGTGCCAGGCGCAAGCACTTGCTTTCTTTTTCAGTTCTGCCTGGACTCCTGGCTCAACACATGCAAGTCGGGGCTGCAACTCTGCTCGACATTGCTGTTTCCAAATGCCAGCCTTTGACATTTCACTTCCCATAAGATTACACCCAATAATTTCTGATTTACATTCCTATGGATTTTTTTTCTTTTTTTTTTTTTTTAACTAATGAAGCAAATTCAACTCAGAGCAGGGATTTGAAAAGCACAGCTAGGAGCTTTTTGTTTGCCACGAAGAATGCCCTGATTATCCCACGATAAAACAAGCCACTGCAGAATGAGAATATATCCAGCCAGGAAATGGGACGTGAGGAAAAGCATCTGGGCACATACAGCCTGGCCTGGAACAGCTGCTCCCACGGGGACTCGCCTCTCTTGGAAAAACCGCCCTCCCCGTCCCCCAACAGCAGGTAAAAGGTATTAAGATTTAAACCTGTGTCTATATTCTTAGCGCTGTACCCTGTGGGTGGGTCTAGGATCGAGATCTTGTGTGTTCTTCGTACTTTACAGAGTCTGTCACAAGATGAAGGTATGAGCCAAGGTTTTTCCCACCTGTAAACACAAATGCACTTGATGCTAAGTTTACCTTTACAAGATGCCTGGCAAGTTCACTCAGCCCAAAGCACAATTCCGATGAGGTTGAAAGGTGTTCCTAAGCCTCTCCTTTAAGGGACACATGCCACCTTACTACAAGTGAACATACACTAGTCAGTCACCTTACCTTTGTTGTTGGCAGCTGGCTGACACCATCAGCATGCTCTGCGCGTGCAGACTGCTCTGGGGCCTGAGTGGAGTCGTGCCTGCATTGGTTGGGGGGACCACAGTGCGAGGAGAGAACAGGGAGTGTGCAGAGATGCAGGAAGATGAGGAAGGTGGCCCTCTGGCCAGGAGAAGAGGCAAGGAGAGGATGCTGGCAGCACCCATGGTCCACAAGCACCATTCCTCTCCACCTCGAACTCCCAGGACTCCAAGAGTCACCCCAGGAACCTCTCTAGCCACCCTCTGACTGCTCCACCCAGCTCAGCAGGCATATCTTGTTTTTGCCACAGTTACAGTATG